GTAGGTTTTGGTTCTTTGTTAAAAACAAAAATTAAGGAGTATACAGTTTTTCTAAAACTACAGCCACTAAAAAACGCAGCATATGTGATAGGAGCACAGCAGCAGTGTTTGTTTTGCCATTTTTACACGAACCTGGTAATAAGGCATGTCTGTACATTAAACAAACAAGAATAATTATTAATCCATGTTTATTTTCAAATCAACACTTTAACGTTCACTTGTATCTAAGGAAGGCTGGGGAGGTAAAAAAGATTAAGGGGTGGAATTAGGATAAGTTACAGCTCATGAGGTACTCCATCAGAGCATCTCTGACACATCGGCCCTGCTCTCCATCTTGTGGGACAGCGACCAGGACGGGCTGTGCGGCTGGTTCTGCTTCAAGTTCATCGACGTCATCCATTTTGGTTGTGTGTTGTTTTCCAGCTCTTCTTCTAATACATGTTAGTGGTGCTTAGAAAAGAGCTTAATGTAGCACTACCGCCACTAGCTGGTAAGGTGCGTTGATATTAATAATCCGCCCACTAGAGGTGAACAATACGCCCACTAAACGGGAACTATAGGCAAAGTGGAGACACAAAAATAGAGGTCCCACTAGAACCGGACACAACAGGCTACAACAAGAACCAGACCTGTGGATACCAGGCTTAATAAACAGAAAAAGGAGAACAACAGACGGAAAAACATTGTCATCCCTTATGTTGCTGGAGTATCAGAGAAATTCAGAAGGATTTTCAACAAACACAACATCCCAGTACATTTCAAACCCAGCAGGACTCTCAGACAGAGGCTGGTCCACCCTAAGGACAGAACACCCATACACAAACAGAGTGGTGTAGTGTATGCGGTCCAGTGCAGCGAGGACTGTCCAGACCTCTACATTGGAGAAACTAAACAGCCTCTTCACAGACGCATGGCTCAACACAGGAGAGCCAGCTCTTCAGGACAAGATTCAGCTGTTCACCTCCACCTCACAGATAAGGGACACTCTTTTGAGGACCAGAATGTGCACATTTTGGACCGAGAACACAGATGGTTTGAGAGGGGGGTGAAGGAAGCAATTTATGTAAAAAGAGAAAAAAACATCTTTTAACAGATGAGGAAGCCTCAGATTTCCACTTTCAAAAACCTATAATTCAACTTTAAGACTGATTCCCAGCCAGTTTTCACACCTGATGGGAACAGAGGGGTCTCATCTGTGAATTAGAGGAACAAAGACTAAGAAGCCCCCTACTGTTAAGGTGTGACTTGTCAAATCTACATATGTGTGTGTGTCTTATCTCACTCAGCCTTATAACCTGAATCTCTCACTCACTGCTCATTGAATTGAGAAAGCTCCTCGGATGAGGAGCGAAACGTCTTCTGTTACAAATAAAGTCCAGTTGTTTTTGTATTGAACGCTTTTTGAATTCTTAAAAGACAGAAAAACCTGGATGGCCCTTAATGTTCTCCTTTTGAACACAGACAAGACTGAGGTTTTGGTTTTTGGACCTGAGCACCTTAGGAATTAATTTTTCAGTCTTTCTCCCTCCTTAGATGACATTAATCTGGCCTCCAGTTCTAATGTTAAAAATCTTGGTGTTATTTTTGATCAGGACATGTCTTTTATCCCCCACATTAAAAAAAGTTACTAGAACTGCCTTCTCCCACCTGCGTAATATCACTAAAATTAGAAACATCTTATCTAAAAATTATGCAGAAAAACTGGTCCATGCATTTGTCATGTCTAGACTGGACTATTGCAATGGTTTATTATCTGGGTGTCCAAATACTTTTTTAAAACATTTTCAGTTGATCCAAAATGCTGCTGCCAAAATCTTAACTGGAGTTAGTAGGAGAGATCATATCTATCCAGTTTTCGTTTCTCTCCATTGGCTCCCTGTCAAATCCAGAATAGAATTCAAAATCCTACTTCTAACCTACAAAGCTCTCAACACCTTAGCTCCATCTTATATTTCAGATCTTAATGTTCCATATTTTCCTAACAGAGCACTTCACTCTCAGACTGCAGGTTTACTTGTGGTTCCTAGAATTTACAAAAATAGAATGGGAGGCAGATCTTTCAGTTATCAGGCTCCTGTCTTGTGGAACTAACTTCCAATCTCTGTCCGTGAGGCTGACACATTATCCAGTTTTAAAACTAGGCTTAAGACTTTCCTTTTTGCTAAATCCTATAGTTAGGGTCAGCTTTGGTTTCCTGAGCTGTCCCTTAGTTATGCTGCTATAGGCTTAGACTGCTGGAAGACAAACTGACCACAATTTTCACTCTGCTATTGTCTTTACTTACTCTACTCAACCTGCTTCGTATTTGTAATTATTTTTTCTATCCTTAACATGCGTTTTTGTTTTTTTTTTGTCTTTCAGGTACACCTGGACCTATACCTGGACCTACCATTCTGTGCTCGTCTGTCTCTCCTTCCTGTCCTCTCAAACCAGCCGGTCAAAGCAGATGGCTGCTTGTCGTGCTGGAGGTTTCTTCCTTTTAAAAGGGAGTTTTTCCTTTCCACTGTTGCCACTGTGCTTGCTCAGGATAGGAGACTGCAACGAAGCCAAGATTCAACTCGTCTGCTGGCCTCCTTAGATAGAGAACTTTACTAATTGGCTTTTATGTATGTGAATATTTCTGTAAAGTGCCCTGAGACAACTTTGTCGTGATTTGGCGCTATATAAATAAACTGAATTGAACTGAAATGATCATTTCATAGAAATGTTGTATGAAAGAGTCTACAGATATAATCTAGTGACATACATAACATCATCAAAACCTACAGAGAATATGAATGTACAATACATTTTTATGCTTACCCCCCATCAATGATTTCATCCACAACAAGAAACACTCCTTCCATGTTGTCTAGTAAACACCTCCGCTCCACATTTTTCCTGTCAATAAAGGTAAATATTAGTCAGACGAGGCACGTACATATTAAATACCAATTTATTATTTGTGAAGTAGTTTGACTTAAACGTTAGAACTGCCCCAAAACCCTTAAAGCAGCATTGAGATTAAGGTTTTATAGTTTAGATGAACTGAAAATGTTTTATTTTGGTATAGTTTTTTTTTTTACTGTAATCCACAACTGATAAAACTAAAAACATTTATTACTGTGTCTCAACAATGTCACTTCTTTTAAGAATAATTTTTTAAAACTACAACTGCAGTGTATTGCTGAGCACTGAATGATTGCTGAAATTTGTTGAAACTTTAACTAAATTGTTAAAGACCAAAAAAAAACAAAAAACAATCAGAACAAAAGGTGAAATTGGCAACTGCTAAAACCATCAGTATTGTAGCTCAGGGGTTCTCAAACTTTGTGGGTTCAGAGACCCTTACAGGGAGAAAAAGTTTCAGGGACCCCCTCATAACCCTCATGTTTATTAAATAAATGTCTTCAATTTGTCTCTTTAATGCAATGGAAACATTTGTGTAACATAAATACTCAAGGCCTGCTCTTGAATAGTGTTAATACAATTTTTATACTTTTTAAAATGGCATATTTTTCATTCAAGACAATTAACAAAAAAATTAATTTCAACTGAGAAAAATAAAAGAGTCAAAAACCACTTTAAAACTTTACCTATTCACATAATGAATATAAATGTATTGCCACGTCTAATTATTACAGAAAACTCTTTACATAAGACTGAACAGAATCATAACAGCAGTAGTCAGACCAAGAAACAGGGCTTTATTTGTAAACTGATCAATGATGGAAAGCAAAAAGTGAGCAGGCTGGTGGGTGCAGGGGGTCTGGGGAAAATGTTTAATAAAGTAGATGTGAGTTTCTGTATTTGGTGTATTTTAATGGGTTGTTAAACATCTACGTGCTTGTAAAGAAAAAAAAATACATATGTATATACGTATACATACACATATATACACATATACATATATACACATATACACATATATATATATACACATATATGTACATATACGTATATATACGTACATATATGTGTATATACACGTACATATACGCAAAAGTAATTATTTACAACAACAAAAAAAGACCAGCAAAAAATTGGGAGCGTATATTATTCTCCTACTATTTATCATACTGCAAATAAGTCACAGGAAAAACTAAACTATTAGTTATTATTATTAAACTGCAAATGTGAAGAAACGTGGGCGTCAAAAACAAAACTTAGCCAAAACTGGTTCAGTGGATTGGACCCGGTGTTACACTTTACTCTGTGACCTGCAACAGCGCAACACCGCCCCCTACGGTCATACAGTGGTCACAGAATATGACGTCACTACGGATACTCGATGTTAAATTTTTAACCTCCATAGATGTCCTAGCAATCCATGTGTAGACTACTTGAGTACTCTGTTACTGCCCTAATACATATATATACATATATAAGTATACACGTATACGTATATATACACGTGTATACGTATATATATGTATATGTATATATACACATACACATATATATATATATACACACATATATATATATATATACACATACACACATATATACACATACATATATATATATATATACACATACATATATATATATATATACACATACACACATATATATATATATACACATACACACATATATACACATACACATATATATATATATATACACAAACACACATATATATACACACATATATATACACAAACACACAAATATATACACATATATATATATATATATACATACACACATATATACATACACACATATATATATATATATATACACATACACACATATATATATATACACACATATATATACACATACACACATATATATATACACATACACATATATATATATACACATACACACATATATATA